GGGTTTGATCATCAGTAGACGCACGGCATGGAATGTCCAGTTTCACGGTCTGGAAGGGGCTGCTGTCGTTCTTGGATTGGTTTGGTTTCATGTCGTCTACTTCCTTGCGGATTTGGGCCTCGATATCATCTTCATCATGCTCTTCTTTTTCCTCTGGTTTATTATTAGCATCATCGGAGGCAGAGGCTGCTCCATCCCGTGTTGATTCCCCTGAGTGTTTGTTCTTTTCCAAGTCCTGTCCATGGTCAGTGGACAACAAGTTAAGGGGGTGGGTGTGGGTAATAAATGGTTAAAACTGACTTGATAGAGCAGGTCTATCATCTCCGAGACACACTTTGTCTCCTTTCCTCTGCTGGAGGTTACAAAAATGCCCGCATCACCTTTTTCGATGACCCGTCTGCAACTCCATTGGCGGGTATTGCTCTTGTTGAACCAGAGGTTTGATTTCTATTACTTGATGTTAGAACATCCACAATAGAACCAGTGTTTTCAAACTCGGAGAAGATGTGGAGAAGGGCAAGGAGATGATCTAAAACGAATGCCAAAAGGCAGAATTCTGGACCTTGCTCCTCTTCGATAGGTTGCCTCCCCCGCCATCATGAGATCGTTTCGCGGACCCCGACATGAAGAATACTAATAGCTACCCCAAAGGTAACTATCAAAGGTGGCGTTCCTCTATACTCTATCCGGATTGCCAGTGGATTTTTCTCTCTTTTTTTTTTTTTCGGATTGAAGTACGTCCTGGGTGGGGGGGAGAGGTAAGCGGCGACTTAAACGAATGTCAACTGGACGGAAACTGAAATAATATTATGCATCACCTAGATACCTAGAACATTTCCAACCCAAACTAGTCCATATTGAAAATACAACACAGTCGGTCAATCTCGAGGTGGGAGGTATGGGTGGTTTGAGTGGGCCCGGCGATTCGTATCTCCCAGTTTCAAGATCGGTCCACTGCTTCGTTGGGAATGTTGAACTGTTTAAGCTGCGGAGTCTCCGTGCTATTACTAATCACACTCGACTTGGCCTTCCAAGCACGGGGACAACCCCCGGCGCCCCTCCCCCCCCCCGAGGCGCTAAATCGGAACAGGCAAGGCGCCTTCATGTGACTGTTGGGAGCTGGCCAACCGTGTTAGTCAGCCCCAGCTCGCCTGCGCCCTGCCAGCGGCTAAACTGGACTTCTGCGGCAGCGTTGACATCATATATTGCTCAGCCATTTGTGCGCTGCAAGACAAATCCCCCCAGTCTTACTTGGTGCCGCCCGGGGCAACATGGGCTGGCTCAGGCTATTAATGGACGGGTTTCTTCCCGTCTCCTTGCATGTCCCAACTTGTCCGCTATTTCTGCTTTTAGTAGTTATAGTTAGCTGGCTGGCTACCGCCCTCGTCGTTCTACCTGCAATCGTTGCGGCTGCATCCTCTCCTCAACACTCTCTCCGGTTAAGTGCGAACAGTACAACCCCATTGAGCTATAATGGCAACCGATATTGCAAGCAAGGGGCTTATATCTCCCGTCGACGTTGCTGAATACTTGTTTACGCGGCTCCATCAAGTGGGGATTCGATCTATCCATGGCCTTCCAGGTATTTATATAGATAAGAGTCAACCCTCCCTTTCAAACTTGAAAATCGGATTATAGCTCACTACGCCCTTGTAGGCGATTATAATTTGGTGGCATTAGACTACCTCCCGCACTGTAAGCTCCAGTGGGTTGGCAATTGCAATGAATTGAATGCTGGTATGTCCATCCAATGAGCGGATCCTCTGGGTCGTTCACAACGGTTGCTCCCAACTCCCAATACGAAGTTATATGTCTGCTAATGCAATTCTCACAGGATATGCGGCCGATGGCTATGCACGCGTACATGGGATGGGAGCGGTCGTCACGACCTTCGGGGTTGGAGAGCTCTCTGCCCTCAATGCTATCGCGGGGTCCTTTTCCGAATTTGTACCTGTTGTCCACATCGTGGGCCAGCCAAACACAGTTTCCCAGCGGGACGGAATGCTTCTCCATCACACTTTGGGCAACGGCGATTTCAACGTCTTTACCAACATGAGCGCCAGCATTTCCTGCTATGTCGCCAGGCTAAATCCCATGCAAGACGCCGCAGCCGAAATCGACAACGCAATAAGGGAATGCTGGATCCGAAGTCGACCCGTATACATCACGCTGCCCACCGATATGGTGAAGCAGAAGGTGGAGGGGAACCGTTTGAAAACTCCCATTGACCTGACACGTCCACCAAACGAGGAAGAAAAGGAAGAATACGTCGTGGATGTGGTCTTGAAATACCTCCACGCTGCTAAATCTCCCGTCATCCTTGTTGACGCCTGTGCCATCCGTCACCGTGTCCTCGATGAAGTGCAAGATCTCGTCCAGAAATCCGGATTGCCGACTTTCGTCACGCCCATGGGGAAGAGCGCTGTTGACGAAACCCTTCCCAATTACGGTGGTGTCTATGCCGGCGATGGCTCCAATCCAGGAGTCAAGGACTGTGTTGAATCATCCGATCTAATTCTCAACATCGGCTCCATTATGTCCGACTTCAACACAACAGGGTTTTCCTACCGCATTGGCCGTATGAATTCAATTGACTTCCATAGCAACTATGTCGCCGTCCGCTACTCCGAATATCCCAATATCCACATGAAGGGCGTTCTCCGGAAAGTGGTCGATCGGATGGGAAAGTTGAACATAACCCCAATCCCGAAAATTGCAAACCAAGCACCAACCAACGAACGTCTCTCAGCGCAGTCACCCATAACACACTCATGGTTTTGGCCTACGGTTGGTCAATGGCTTAAGGAAAAGGACGTTGTGATAACCGAAACAGGCACAGCCAACTTTGGCATTTGGCAGACAAGATTTCCCAAGGGCGTCACTGCCCTTAGCCAGGTTCTTTGGGGAAGTATTGGGTATGCTCTGGGTGCTTGCCAGGGTGCTGCCCTCGCAGTGAAAGAGAAGTGTGATGGCAGGCGAACGATATTGTTTATTGGAGACGGGAGTTTCCAGCTCACGGCGCAGGAATTGAGTACCATGATCAGGCACAACCTCACTCCTATCATGTAAGTCAAAAGTCCAACTCCTACTTCGACGCCCCTTGCCATGTGTGTATACCTAGAGTTTATGAAATATAGCATCCTCGCTGACAAAACTTCCAACAAATATAGCTTCGTAATATGCAACGACGGCTACACTATCGAGCGATGCATCCACGGCTGGGATGCGGTATACAATGATATCCAAGCCTGGAATTTTAAAGATCTCGTGCCAGCTTTTGGAGCCCAGACTGATAAATTCAAAACCTACTCAGTCAGGACGGAGAAGGAATTGCTAAACCTATTCGCGGATGAGAGATTTTCTTCTGCAAAAGTCCTTCAGGTAAGGTTTTTATGTCCTCTCCTCCGGAATCTCTTCATTCACCCAAATTCTAAGCTCCATTTTGATTTGCTTTTTTCCTTTTTCTTTTCTTTCTCTTTCTTTCTCTTTCTTTTCCTTTTTTTTTTTTTTTTTTTTTTTTTTTTTGCTGGAAAATTCTTCAAAACTTCAACTAAAAATTTTCGAACTGCAGCTTGTCGAACTACACATGCCCAAAGAAGACGCACCGGCCACATTGAGGTTGACTGCAGAAGCAGCTGCAAAAGTCAGTACCAAGAACAAGTAATAATCTAGTTTTCACCCACCATGCCCTCGATTTAATTTTCTGTTGTTGGCATAAATATATGTCGATGTGTATTTATCATCGGAGTGACTGAGTGCGTATGGTGGGTTGAAAGAGTAAAAAGCAAAGTTGACGCTTCTCAATTAATACTTTACTATCAAACAAGTATATGCGGCTATTTTCTTTCTTTCTTTCTTTCTTTTTCTTTTTTATTTTTATTTTCCTTTTCTTTTTTTTTGAAAAATAATAATAATTAAATATATGAATAAATAAATAAGACTTGGTCTTTAGCCAGCAAATGAGTATAAATGATATTAATTGAGTTTGTCGGTGACGTTATTTGCCATGTAATACCAATGCGGGAATGGACTGGGAGCGGAGGCGGCAGCACAGTGCACAAGTGTAGGTGGTGTACGAAATAGAGCTAAGAGATAAACAAGAAACCCAGAGTCGGGTAAGGATAGGTGGCAAAGCGTGGTTCTGGCAAAATCTGAGTCTTTATCGCACCAACACGCATGCCAGGTAGGTTTGCAATAAATCCATGGAGTGTTTATAAACCACGTTGGATGAACAGCTGAGTTGATAGATAGCCCCATTCAGCCCAAGAATTATTAGAGACGCAGCAAATCTAGGTAGTAAATCCAGCCAAACTTGTAATCAAATAAAACATTCCATTAATCAGCGCTATACGGGTTGTATCTTTGCTAGATTTATCTAGCAGAGAAAAATTTACGTGGCAGAAAAATAAAAAATAAAAAATAAAAAATAAAAAAATAAAAAATAAAAAAAAATATGATCGAGGCAGAAGCAACTTACATGCAAACAGAAAAGAGAAGAAAAGAGACAGTGAAAGAGGAGAAAGCAAAGAAGCGGAGCAAGTGAACAGGGATATGGGTCTATGAACGAGAAAAATATCCAACAAAAAGGGGTTTCATTACGGGATGAGGCGGAGGTGACAAAATTAGGAGAGACAAAAAAGAAAAAGGGGGGATCGCGCGTAAGAACGTCACCGGTAGGAGCATCGTCATTAAACCATGATGGTGTATGCAGGGAACAAAATAAACCACAAATAATGCAAGAAGAAAGAAGAATTAAAGTCGTAAATCTTAGACCGTGAAATTCCTGAAACAATGAAAGTTTTGCTCATTTCGCCTATATCACTTCTAATGTCATTACCAACGTCCATGTTAAATTGTATTGATAGACCTTAGCACTGATTTGTTGGGGATATGGGAGGAGGATAGTATTTCGCTGTATCCACTCGAGTAACAAGAAATTGATAGCTTTTTGTTGCTGCTATTGATAATGGTGATATTTTTCTCTTGTTGTTTCCTTCGCCTTATAACCAGGCATTCGTCCACTGACTCCACTCAATATTCCCATCTTCCAATGCACCTGCATCTGCATCTGCAGATGTATTACCCGCTCTTGCGCCATCGTCCCCGGTCCCTACCACTATATTTCCAAGGAGATTATCCAAATTAACAACCATGTCCATTCCCATCCCCATTCCGAAACCATGGGTTTCGGACATTTGATGATCGCTAGCAGCTTGTTGATCAGCCTGCTGATAAGACTGTCGCTGCTGTTGTAGCAACAGCTGGTGTGAGTCGAAGTTCTTCCAGAAAAAAGAATCATCCATTGAGATAAGGTCGGGGCTTTGTAATACTCCTCCAGGTGATGGAGACGTCGATTTGGGAGACATTTGTTGTCCAATTGTCGAGTGTTGCGGGAACTGATTTAAATGGTACGGCAAGAAAGATGTCGGGGTGACTGCATCGTGGTTGTTAGGGTTGGCGAACGATTGGAACCCATGTAACGGGTCATAGGATGGGATAGAAGCACTTGGTGGATTCGCGGAGGTATTGGTTAGAGATGATGATCTGAATCCGAACTGTGCTCCTGCGATGTTGGTATCGTTCTTGAAATGATTGTTTTCAAGAGTTGACATGGGTTGAGTTGGATATGCGAAGGGATCGTCGGATGGGAACATCATTGGCATTAAATCAGGAAGATAGGCCATACTATGCATTGGGAGCGAGAATGATGCCCCGTGCTTAAGAGATAATGGTGAGGAAGAATGCGGCTGGTTTTCTTGTTGCTGTTGGTGCTGTTGCTGATGGTTTTGAAGTTGGAAATGCGGCTTTGGAAGCGACTGAGGAGATGTAGAATTGGGTAAAGAAGCTGACGATCGAATCTCTTTATCCTTGGCTGGTGGTGGTCTTGGAGAGGTCTGTGAGTGGCTGAGCGGAGATTGCTCATTTACTCGCCTCGCTCCCCCTCTACGGTTTACGTGGTGATTATGATCAACGCTTGTGGGTAGCTGCTTGGCCTTTTCAGGTTGTTTTGATGTGTGTGATGTGAGGAGATGAACAGGAAATGTCCTTGCGCGTTGGGGGGAATTTAAGCCAACATTATCAGCGGCGGTAGCGGGATGAGGAGGAGTCATTGTCCCTTTTGATTTGGGAGCTGATGGTGGGGCAGGTTGAGCACGTTTCCTGTTCAAGTGCATAGGGGTGCTTCGTCGATTTTGCAACTTTTCAGGTAGGTGTTTGAAAATAGACTAAAGGTATTGAGATCAGCATGGCCACGTCCGCGAAACGGATTACTTCTGTCTCGAGGAGGGAAAATGGCAAAAACAAACATTTAAACTCTGAGCGCACCGATCTGCGGCCATGCTATTCTTAGCAAGCCCTGCAAGTGCATTCTTGCCCTCAAGAGCATCTTTCAGAATCCCGTCCTTGACTGTGGCAGATTCAGGATTTTCAAGGATGAAAAACACGAGTGACAAAACCGCAAAGTATGTCGTATACATGGTAAACCAATAGGAGCCATTGAGGAGCTTCTTTTCCTTCATCCCGGCTGTAATGTGAACGACGTTACGCGCCACGCTCACACATGCGGCAGCGCATGCAAATGATCTCTTATCAATCTTCCTGTCCTGGGCGTTACCTGTAACGTAATGAAGGAACGGACGGTACATAACCATCTGCACGTGGGCGTAACCAATACGGAGCAATTGCCTCATCCTTTTTATCAAAAAATTGAGTCAGCGAGAGAGTAAACACAAGAGCTCGTTTGTATGTACGCAGGGGGAAGAGAACAGACCTCTCAATTTCAGGAGTGGCGTCCCCTCCGGGTCTGAATGAATCAGGAAGATCTTCTTGCCAAGCCTGCAGGTCGCGCTCAAGTTCGCGAATTTTGGAGTGGCTCACCGTATAGGTATGGTTTTCGCCTTGGCTTGCTATTTTAACAGGGTAGATATACTTCACAACCTTCATGACAATGTGGCCGAGTCCAATATGAGCATTCACGCCAGTCATCAGAGTGACGTGATTGGGAGGCATTGGTAAAATCCTTTCCGCAGTGATGAACTCATCATCAACAGCTTGTGGATATTCTTGGTCGATGTCATCCTCGCTCAACATAGACGGCAGACCAAGAATAGTACTTACATGGACATCCATTTTCCGTACAACCCAAAATACCCGCTTTCGAGTTTCTAGTTCGATAGGGTTAAAATTGGCCGAAACAGATCGATGAAGTCCAAGACGGAGCGAGGCACGTAGCGCAATACCAATATAGGAATAACAGGTGCTCATATTTGCTGATGACTGGAGGAAGAGTATCATGAAGCAGATGGCTTGCAATGAGGTAAGATCGCGACATTCGGTGATATCGAGAAGTTGTCGTCCAACCCTAAAGTATTGAAATCTGTTTTAAGTTGTTAGCAAACGCACAAAATGCATCGAAAAGTTGAAAGAAAATGCCAGGACAAAAAAAAAAAAAAAAAAAAAAACCGAAGTAGTACCCCTGATCTGTTGCGCCTTCATAACCCGATTTATCCAACGTCGTATCGCCAACACCCCGAAAAAGGCAGCCCACAGCAAGAGCAAGATATAATAAGGGTAGAAAGCTATTCTCTTCGTTGGAGAAATTCTCCGGGGGGGTATCGTAAATTCGATCGAACATGGCATAAAACGTAGGCTTATGCAAAAATCGCATGATGCAGCAAGCATCTTCGAGGGCATTCATACAAAGTTTACGAGCAACCTCTCTTTCCGGAAGATCATGGACAGGAGACAGGTGAGAGTCACTCGGAGATTCTGAAGAGGCTTTTGTTCCCTCCAGAATATGGGATATATTTTGGAACTTCGTTTTAGGCCGATCTTCTGGGCGGGGATCTGGCAGATTACCAAACTGTTTCCGTAGGCGACGCATAAAAATTAACCCTGACGAGTGGCCGTGATAATCCCAATGCCCTTGGTCATCACGGTCAAGCAAACCTGAATTGTCGACCATCGATTCCAAAAGTGACTCCTCGCACCGTTCTTGGCCCACCGGTTGTTTCGGCTCGGGTTCAGTGTTGTCAGATATTTTCAGACGGTCCCTTAGGCGGGACCGTATCTCCTCCGGCCCATGCACATCAAAACGTGGATCATTGAGATCAAGATCTGGAATCACTGCCCGAAGAATCGCCTCTGCTTTGCGTACACGATTTTCGAGGGCTTCGATGTACTGAGGCGCAGGATTTCTTCGTCTGTTTGAAGGTTGGTCATACGTACAATCTAGGCAATACCAAAATGCTGGAGTCAACAATAACTCCTGTAAAAAATGATTGCAAGTTCAACTGTTTGCCATACCATAACTGTAAACAGTACAATGAGTACATGGCTGTTTGCCGTCGCATTTAATTTTTTTCCGTCTACACTCGTCGCATGCTCTAGTCACCCTTCGTCGCTTTTGCAACGGCGGCAGCTTAGGCGGCAATGACTCGGAATCTGGACTTTTCTCGTCTAGTGGGTTATCATCTGTATCCGTAGGATTCGAGCCGTGCCAATCGTGAACTTCATAAGATTCTTGCCGCTGACTTGGCGTATCGTTTTCATTCCCAGCACCACCATGTGCAACCGTAGCAGACTCTCGAGATGTCATGATGGAAACTGTGTCTCCGGTTTTTTGCAGTCACATCTGAACCGGCCGTATATTGCCCCTGGGATTATGGGGTTGCTGGGAAATGGTCGTCGTGGACCCTTCCGCTGCTGAGGCGGGTGTTACAAGTTCTGGTCGTGATGTCGAACTGGGACATATCCAGGCCGCAGAAAATTGCCAATCGGTGGCTGTATACTGTAAATCCCGGACATACACAGTTAGATATGAGCGCCGAAAACATTATTGAGGGAGAGGAAGTCATGATATCAGAGTTTCAAACATAGATGGATGGGTGGGGGATGGTTATTCGTGATAGGGTGCGGAGTCATCGAACACTGACAAAGCAGGATTGGAAGAGCGCGGGAACTTACAAATCGATCAGGACAGCCCGCGTGGGGTAGATCAGAACTAAATAACGGCGCTGCTGTGGATGAGGATAAATAAAGGAAGAAAACGAGGGGAATGAAAAAGGGGAAGATCGATAAAAACCGCCGCAATTCTAACCTTATTGATTGACCAAGGCCTGACCGAAGCGAAGGCGCGTGGATTCAAGATCAAAGCATTAACTACGATACGAAAACGAAGCTTTAGTTGGCTTAACAGTCGGGGGGTGCCTTAGCCGTACGTACCAACCAGCAGAGGCTTAGCGCTATGTGGCGCCCATCCAAGAGGAGTTCCCGCGGAATCGTCTTGAGAAATCCAGAAATACCGCACAATCATCATATAACTAGTGGAAGGCGGATATTTTGGAAACAAGTCAGTTTCCGTCGGATGGCGGCGTAGAACAAGCAGGCAAACCAATTACAAATCCAGGACGTCCAGTCGGACCGAACCAAGGCGATTTCACCGAGCCAGCCATCTCTGGAGAGAGCCAGTCATCTGCCAAAATACATCCCCAATGTCGGGCCAGTCTGCAAGCCTTCTCCCCAATGAACTCTCTGCTTACAGCATGGGTGAGTGTAGTTACGCTTCACAAGGTTCCAGAAGAGGCAAAATTCTCCCCTCCTCCCCCAGCGTGGAAGTAAGTTACGTAACTACAGAGGATGTGTGAAGGAACACTGCTATTAATCAAAATTTGGGGGGGAAAGGATTTTTAAAGAAAAGAACATAGAAAAAAGAGAAGAAAAAAAAAGGTCTGAGAGGAACATCATTGTTTTTGTGTTGTGACTATGTTTGAAAGTATAGATCCGATAATACTGCTGTTTAGGCAAATGCTCCCACGACTGACATGCATGCAGCTGGTTTTTCCAATCAATATCAGCGGGATGAGCTCTTTTAAAGATTGGATGAACTTACCCCCCATGAAAATAAACAAGACTCCCGAAAGCTTCTGTCTTTTGCTCATGCCGAGACCTTCTGGAGTCAAGAAATCTTCCACAAGAAGATCCACGGTTGCTGCATAAATTAGGAGGCCGGAAGATCTGTCCAAAAAAAAAAAAAGAACTGGTGTTAGGAAGAGGGATCGGACATAACTATTCACACAAGAGAACCTACATGGCATTGAAAACTCCAACCATTATCAAGGCAAACGCGCTCGCTGGATCATAGCTTGTGCGAGCTACAAGACCAATGGCTTGGCCAATTGGTGCAGTGGTGCCGAATGCAATGGCTAGAATCCAAGGACGAAGCGATTTCTTTGGATATGGCACCTGGGCGATTCGGGAGCCCAGCCCGAGCCCCTCGAAGGCCTGGTGGAAGAGAATAGCAATGAGCAGGATAATGAAACCTTCCGACTCGATTGAAACAGTGATGCCAACGAATACTGAATGGAACAAGATACCGCCTTCGAGGATGGTAATGTTGAGAGACATCTTTTTGTAGATAGCGGTATCAACACCAGGTTCCCGATCGGGCGAGTCGGGAGCCTTTTCGACTTCCTTCAGGTTGGATTTTTGCATTATCTGGTCCTGGAGCATACTGTGAGTCCACTCGCGCTCGCGGATATACTGTTCATAAAACGCGATAAACCAGGGAGGCATTTCAGATTGAGCATCCGTATATGCACGGTCAAAAGCTGTCGGCGAAGTAAACTCGCTGAAAAGCATTGAAAATTAATATTCATTTCACGGAGGATATGTGTCGATACATACCGTGACTTATACAATGTTTTGTCGTCGTCCCAATCATCATCCGTCGATTTGTTCCTATAACGATTCTCTTTCGGCCACGAAATTTCTCCACGATCGCTATGACTGCTACTACTACTAATACTACCACCACCACCACCACCACCACGATGTCTGCCGTGGCCATGGCCACCGTGCAAGATATCTTGCCCCGTCGCACCACCGTGGCTATGTCCCCCTATTTTTGTATTCATCCACAACTCAATACAAAACAGAGAAAGCAAAGCGGCAAGCATAATAACACCAGGCATAGCAGGATACTGCTCTGTAAACAACGGGGGCAGACATGGGTCATTTAACGATAAGAATGCGGTCGGAAGTAACTGTTATTGTTAGCCTCCCGTTGTCATGCCTACCTCTGACCTCTGAAGAGATAATTACATGAACACAAGCAGTTGCAATAAGGACACCAGTTCCAAAATGTTTGCAGAAGAAGAATGCTTTTGGTGGAATCTTCATCGACGGGATCTTCTTCGCGGCCACAGGGAAACCACATGCTGAGAAACGGTAAGTGAGTTGTGGCGATTTCAACATGGATAGATCAAGGCCTTACAGAACGTGCTGACCGCGAGCACCAGGACTGAGATATGTCAGATGTATGGTCTTCTGTATTGCAATGCATCCCCTCTAATATGGGAATACAACGTACAAAGTGCAACGATGTGAATGGGCAGATCATAGTCTTCGGCTGCTTCTCCAGAACCGCATTGCGGGCGCTCCATTCTTCCTGCCTTATTCCCAGCCGACAGATGGCCCGTATGGAGTTGAAAGACTGGAAGCTTAAAAAGAAAGGTTGAAGAAGAGATAAAAACTGACCGGCAGTCGATGAGAAACAAGATCAAACGAAAGATCAAATGACATTGACCGGCAACGCCCCAGGCAAAAATGTATTAAATATTTCATTCAGATCATACCGATATTAAGATGAGAAAGGATCTTGGGAAGCTTAACGGTAAACCTCGATGTGCACAGGAATAAATGAACGTTGAAATCGGGGCTAATTAGGTCGGATTGAAAATCTCAGGCGGATCTTCCAGACCCCATGCTCTTAGCAAGACACCGCCAACAGAAGAGGGACTCTCATTGGAACATCAGAGACTGCTTAGGGAGGGGTAAAACCGCTAGTATATAACAAGACAGGGGAGGTATTTGCAATTCTGAGGCAGGTTACCGACCAAAGCGGCTGCACTATGCCCAGACAGTATGCTCGACATGAATAACTACTCTGTAAGGTTCGACAGGCATGATAAACGCGCTTGAAAAACGACAACTGACAAATCTTGCGATGTAAAAGAATGTGAGGGTATATTTCTCTTCCACTGAATAAGCTGGAAAATGACAGAGTGGATAGATGTCAGGAGAGAAAACTCTCTGTAGTCGCTTCATCTTGTTCCATAGCTCGACACGCCTTTCTTGGAGAAGGTGTGGGAAAGGAGCTACGAGGATAGAAGAAAAACGACTTTCACCGCAAGATCTCGATCACTTGTCTATTTCAATAGTCTGCAAGCCGCAGCGATGAAACTCTAACTCATGTTATGTAGCCGCGATATCCCAGAGGCTTTGAGATGTCTTTCCTCCTCCTATCTCACCCTCCGTTAAGAGGACCAGAGTTGACCCGGGGAAACATGAGGTCTGGCACACAACTGCGCCTTTGTCAGAGGAGTCATCGCCAAGGACAGAGGAGGTCGCAGTCATACACATCAAATGTGTGGGGATCATCGAATGGAGAGTAGCGGGAAGAATATCTGATGCGGAGCATGTTTGAGCACGGTGACCTCTCAGGGGAAAAAGCACACACATTCCTTCGGCACGCGGCTGATATCATCATGTCGAAAATGCCAAGTTCCGCCAAGAACGCCAAGACTACCTTAAAACTGGCCCCCTTGATTAGCCTGCGTGTCACGTTACGTCCGTGGCTGCGACATAGTTAAACTACTCACGCAGTCTTGCGTTCATCTCAAGGCACCGGCGGTGTCCAGGGCACTCCTCCCGATAGTCATCCAGAACAGAAGTCGGAGTGGTTGTCTACCTTGTCGAAATCGAGGATCGTGAATAGTTAGCGATTCAGGAGAGTAAATAACGATAATCTTTTATGTTTAAAAGCCAAGATCAACTAGAGCTAGCATAGTTAGCCTCTGTTTAGGCTTATTTTACCGAGCATGAGAAGAAGATTCTTCTAAGGGAGCCCGGCTGGTACTACTGTAGCGCACACATCCCGAATATTTTCCCGCCATGACAGATGGGTAAAAGCGGCAACTGGGAAGTTGAGATGTTAAGGGATGTGTGGAGTTCTATGCCAGACAGAAATAGTAATCCAAAATTGCGTTCTTCTACTCCAGTTATTCTCTCGGAGACGTCTCGGGAAAACGGCGCAAGATGGCCATTCCCCAAGCAGACCTGAGACCTCCCATTGTTGGTTTGTATCCATCCATAGGTAGTTACCTAATCCATACCAATCGCTAACTTTTGGGGGAGATTTTCAGTCCTTGTGGGTTCTTGATCCTGTTAGATGAGAAACTGTCTTTCTGGGTATGGTCTCAGTACCCATTATTGCGTGCATGGTACTGCTACTAGGCTGATTGCCTTTATCGGTTATTGAATATATATATATATATTCCCCGCTGGCACATGGTGGTAGGGACACCTTGAATATGTTGCATCGCATCAGGTGCCAAACTCGACAAGAATCATGGCATAGTTGATGTGATGTTTTGGGTATAAGTTGAGATCTGTCAATGAAAATGTTTTGCGTAGTGTAGAAAAGTGTAAGCTCTTGTTTACTGTTCCTGCTTGATAGTGCTGAATAGGGCGATTAAGAGGCGAACAGGCTTGCCCAATAAACATTACAGTTCTGTATGTAACAGCTGTTCGTCTGATGCCTTGCCGCTCCGGGTTTGATTATTATTGGGGGAGAGATCTTTTCGTTAATTGATGAATAATTTGCAAGTATTGTCGAGCTGCGAAGCATGATCGGTTCGTATGAATATTTCGAAGTTCAGACGACACACCATGATGCATAGTTACTCTGGAGCCATAGATACACACGATTGCAGACTTGCAATGGTCCGAACCTCTAAAACCGGTAGACCGCGCTGCTGTCGGAATCGCTATGTGGACAACAGATTATGCTTCATTTGCTCCGACAAATTTAGCTTTTGCTGCACTGGACGTAGAGTGATGTTTCATCGGGTTCTCGACGCTCAATATCTATTAGATTACTCGCAGATGATCGTGCATAACTGCAGCTTCGCATGTCTCTGGAACAAAGTGAGGGATTTAATTTAAAAAAAAACACATCTGCACGGCGGAAGAAACTCCGTCAAAGTAGTACATCCCGATTCTGAACACCATCCTGTCCAAGAATGCTTCAGCCATAATTACTAATTTTTGAGAAATGCGCTATGGTCATTATGCCCGTTTTTCTTACTGGTCCGAGCAGCCCGCTGGAGGGGCCCAGACGCCCCAAAACTCCAGCCTTGTTTCCAAAATTTCCAAATTCTAAGGTCGAGAACCAAGTTGGCATTCGGCTTGCTTCTGGTTCTTCTGCAGCAAACCAATTTTTGACCACTGTCCTGAGCTTGTGATCCGAAATATAACCAGGGACATCCCGTCTTGATGATCTTGATGTTTGGTTCTATTTTCAAGTCTAATAATATTCCGCCGTCTCCATTTATCCACTCCAATGGAGCGTCCCCCGCGAGGTCTCTATTGACGAAGATCGATCATTGTTGCACTTTTCCGTGGGAGCGAGAAGAGAGTTCTTAACAATGTTTCAGGCGGACTCCTAGCCGAGTGTTACCCTTGTCGGCCTCAAAGGAGTCTTCCGCTTCGCCCTGCTAATTCCCTAATAGCGTTTCGTGGCTCTCTATGGTGATATTTGAGTCCCGATGTTTCATGGAGCACAACGGAATTTGACATGGGCATTGCAAACCTTCAACGTTTTAAGATTTCTGCGACCCATATATCTATTCCTGGGCGTTATATATTTAATGGCCGGGAAATACTGCATATTTCAAGGGCGTGCAGAGAACTCGCTATTCTGCTCGTTCGAATTTGGTTCCCAACTAAGTTTCCACCCGTGAGCGCTCTCTGCCACGAGTTGGATCGGATCCCGAATAGGTGGAGGGGTTTGTCACGAGCATCATATCGCAGTATGCCTCGGATCCCTTGCGAACCGTATGCCTCGCTTTATGACTAAGCTCGTGTACGCCCGCGTGCACGAATATTTCTTTCTTTTCTCGTTGTTTTTCTCTTCTTCTATTCAGAGTTATAATCATATAGATTAGCTAGTTATTATTATTACGAATACTACTATCTTATGCCTACTGCGTTCTGACTATCGTCACAGGGTTCGACTGTGATCGGTACCTTTTTTTCTCGATAAAATAAACGTATGGGGTGAAGAAGAAGAGTTATGGCGTGGGGTCTCGTAACAATGTGTTGCACCTTTGCTGCGCTCGGTTCATTCCTATTTGGCTACGATTCAGGTATCATCTCCTCCAGTATTGCTCAAAAAGACTTTGTTCGGAGGTTCGAAGATCAATTGAACGATGCCTCAACAGGTGGTATTGTTGCAGCCTTCACAGGTAAGAATTGGATTTCGTTTCTATTTCGTGGTCTCTGAACGTCCAGATAAGGAGTTTAGATAGCTAATTTTATTGCATTAATCATGATAGGAGGAGCTATAGTTGGGTCTCTTGGGGTATCCTATGTATCTGACACATACGGCAGACGGATAGCCATTTTTGTTGGCGGAATCTTGGCCACTCTTGGGGCTTCATTGCAGGGAGCTTCTTATACAATTGCGATGCTAATCGCTGGGCGATTTATTGCTGGAATAGCGATAGGGCTAATGTCTGCTACGATTCCTGTATATTGCGTACGTCCCGCAGCCCCCTGATGTTCAATAGATAAGCAGTCAACGAAAAAGGGAATTTTCAAACAGCTTGGTAATTGCGGCTAACCTGTGTATATAATAGTCGGAAATAGCACCTCCGCGTATTCGAGGTCTCCTTGGAGGCATGCAACAGTGGATGCTTGGATGGGGTTTCTTCGTTGCAGTATGTCCCTCCCCATCAAGGGTTTCCTGCTATACCAACCTACCGTGACTACATTCAGCAACGAATAGTCAAAATCAGCCAAAGGTGACACGGTATACCAGCAATGGGTTGGGTTTGGAAGCTCCCATGCCAAGAGCTCCTTTTCCTGGCGCTTCCCCCTAAGTCTCCAAGCATTCCCCGCTGTGATCCTTGTAAGCGGTGCCTTATTTATTCCCGAATCTCCTCGGTGGCTTATTGAGCACGGTCAGTCCGAGGCTGGCCGTGATGTCCTGGTCCGTTTACATTCAAACCACACCCATCCCAACACCTCCCTCATTGAACGCGAATACAAACAAATTTGCGACACCATTGCTCTCGAACAACGCGAAACCTCAAAATCCTGGCGAGAAATTCTCATCACTAACCGAAGCTGGCGCCGCCGCATTCTCCTCGCCAGTATTATCCAAGCCCTGACTCAATGCTCCGGTGTCAACGTTATCCAATATTACGGTCCTCGGCTATACGCCACGCTCGGATTTTCTATCTCGCGCTCTCTAATGATAATCGGCATATCCGGCGCTCTCGCGCAGACTTGGAATACGCTATGCCTTGTGTTAATTGACGTCATTGGTCGACGCAAGCTTCTCATTCCCTCCTTACTCGGCATGGGCGCAGCCTTGTGCGTTGAAGCGACGCTATCGCACTACTTCAACCCGGATAATTCAACGAACAAACAAGCACTCCGCGCCTCCGTTGCCATGTATTTTGTCTTTTCGTTCTTTTACACATCGCTTGGTGTGATATCGTGGGTATACCCTGCCGAGATATTCAGCATGCCAGTCCGGGCGCGCGGAACATCTGTCAGTACATTCGTTAATTGGTCTTTCAATCTCTTGTTTGCGCAGTGTGCACCGATTGGGCTGTCCAGAATTCAGTATCGGTTTTTTTACTGCTTTATGGCGTTTAATTGGGTTGGAGCAGTAATAGTTTGGTTATGGTTTCCGGAAACTGTAGGGAAATCATTGGAAGAGGTGGAAGAGGTGTTTACAGACAGAAAAGTCAGTCGAACAGCGATTGGGGCGCGCGGTGTAATTAGTCCTAATAGCGATGGGAAGGAGTCTTTGGTTATCTCAAGTTTTAGTGAACAGACGAAGGCAGCCGTCTAATTGGGGAAATGGGGCCGGGAGCCTTTTTGCGTATATGGGGTTGCTGTGGGGTTCCGTCATTTAATATTTGTATATTTTTTTGGTCCGTAAAAACTAATTGGATATCCTAGTATAAATGGCGATAATCCCCCCCCCCCACCAACTTCATCAGATCGAAATTTTATGAGTGTCCGTTATTCGCATTTCATCACCCCCACAGCATAGAGATGGAGTAAGGATACCAATATGTAGCAACCTAGCCCTGTCGTTTCTCCAGGTTTTAGGTAGCACAACGGAGGAGACACCCTATGCGGAAATATTTCCTCTCAAAACACTATATCCTCATTCATTACTCAGTAGAAATAAAGTTGTAACCTTATTTTTTAAGGTTATTTCCGATTGTTGATTAACAAAACAATTATTCTTGGCGCCCCACTCTATTAAAACCTTAAATATACCTCGCCTTTTTTTGTGTAACTCGAAAATTTCTCTGTAACGAGATTTCGAGGGGGCTCTGATTGAGTGTCTCCTAAGGGTAAAAAGCACTTTCATAAATGGCCCGTATTTATCCTACAAGATAGGCAACGCTGCCTTTCCTACTCGGTTGGCGCGAAGTACTGTTGAAGCACTGCATTTGCCTGCATTGCAGGCATGTCTGAACTACCTCATTCTTATTTTGTTTCAGCAGCATGTAAAAATAAGCGGCTTAAGAGTCCTATATCCCATGATCCATTCATTTTGAGAAGGACACTAAATATGATCAAAAAGTTACAATCAATTCAACATATGCGGGTTGAACAGTATAGTTAACTAAGCTAACTAAAGACTCCTGGCCGTTTATACTTTGGCTTCCATATAAGATATCCACCAATCATTGTTATCAAAAGAGTCAGAAAGCAAAGAAACAAATAAATACGAGAATACATTAGAAAGCGAGGTGATGCCTTGATAGATGATAAAATTGAAATATGGGCCACATATCCTCCCCGGCATAAAATTTTCAAACTCGCGGAACATGTAACCGTTAATGACGGAACTGATATAATATGCATAAAAGCCTGAAAATCAAAAAGTTCAAACAAAGTACCATGTGATGGAGCAGATCACGAAGTAGTAGGCAATATTAAAACGGCTAGTTAGCTTCTTAGGGGGCGGTTATGCGCGATGGTATGCCGACAAGTCACGTGCCGGCGAGGCGGGTCGCAGAGAGGAACTCCAACGACATTTCCCCCCCCCCCCCCCCCAAAAAAAAAAAAAAAAGGAACATTTCAGTTTAAAAAAAAAAAAATTAAACAAAGAAATCCCTTTACGGGAGGCGGATTCTCCTTGTGTTTCCTTCA